CGCGGGGGGGGGACTAAAACATGTGAACTGCGACCTGTAACGGCCACCCCTTCCCCGCCGCCACTCACCCAGCAGTTTTCAGATTGCGTGGGCAGGCTCCGTAAACATGCCGACGAGGAACAGCGCTGACGCGTTACATCATCAGGCTCTCATCACGGCATCTGCCAAATTCAGCGGTGAATGTTTGCTGATCGGTAAGTTTAACACTGCCTGTCAACCAGTAGGCATGCATCCACCATTCTGTCTCCCCATTTTCCCCTAATAATGGGCTATGTCACGAATGTGGGTCATTAAATCTGCGAAACCCCTTGCGTTAACAGTCGGCTCTTCTGGCTTTCGATCACTGAGAGGAACCTACCTATTAAAATTATCCGGTAATTCTATCCTTATCTGACCATTCACAGTAACGATGCCTTCGCCGGTCGCCTTAGGAATATTGTTGTGCTACAGCTTGCTCGAAAGTTGGAGCAAAGTCACCTCCTATCCTGTACACGCCATCTGTTGCGTTCTGGATGCAGTGCGTGTATTCATGTCCACACTCACGAACAGCCATCTGCTAGCCGGCTGGCTGGTTGCAGGGACAGTTACATTCACGCAGACCACGGCAACTGTCCACTTTTATCAGAGTTCCTGGGGGAAAAAAAAAGAACACTGGCAACTTCTGGCAGAAACACCTTTCCCCCGCCTTGTTTCAACCCGTCCCTCCACTTGCACATGTAAGATTTCCACTTTCACCACACAGTCACCACCCCCCCTCCCCGATTACCAGGCGCGCCGACAAAGGGAGATTAGCAGCTGGTGGCGGGGGGGGGAGAGAGTCTGCGGATTCGCAATCAAACGAACATGCGCGCGTGAACTACGACAAACCATATAAACCCACACCAATTTCGGTTGCCGGGGGAGGGGAGAGATAGAGAGAGGGAGCAGAGGACGTCTCCAGGTGCAAATGTGTGCGCGAGCTTGTAGACAGACGTGACACGATATAGGGGCCCTTGCGCAAATGCACGACGGCCATCTTTCCGTGTGTCAGCACACATGCACGTTTGTTTCATCCTTCGACATTTCTTGCACCTTTCTTACCCTCCCCCCTCCCCCTACTCTCTGCCGCTCACCTTCCAGCCAGCCAGCCAGCCACAGCACGCATAACACCTGACATTCGTTAGCGGTCAGCACTGTGCTGATGATTGTGTGTGTGTGTATGAAAAAAAACAACCCTGTTTCGGGAAGCCGCACATGGCTCTGCTGTACGCATGTGCTAGTGAAGAGCGCGGATGGAGAGGAGGAGGCGGAGGTGGAGGAGGAGGAGGACGTAGCAGTTGACTCGGGGGGAGGGGAAGATAAAAGTTGTGGCGCTGGGTTCCTCTTCGGCTCTCGCACAGGCGCACACATACACCTGACATCGAAACACAGCGTATTCATGACCGTCTGACACGTTGCATTTGGACAGACACGAGCCAACACGCTCCGCTGGTGCAGGCTGCCGGGGGTTGGGGCTGGTGGGACAGGGCGAAAAGGACGTCACCGTTCGCGTATGCGTGCGAGAGAGAGAGAGAGCGCGAGTGGAGGAAAGTCTCCGTTTTTCCCCTTTCCTGCGGCAGCCAGTGTGTGTGTGCATGCACCTTCCTCAGGCAGTACTCTCAAAAGCACACACACGCACACACACTTCCCCTGAAATCTGTCTCCCTCGCCGACAGTTAATCACAGCGTCAGTGCGGGATCTTGAGTGGACAGTCAAACTCACCTCAGTGTCATTCGGCCTAGGCCAGCGTCTCACGTAATGTCCTTCTCCAACTTCTCCCAGACTCCGCCCTGCGCACGGCGCTCTGCAACAACTCTTTCAGCCGGACGGAGAACTGTTCTGATGAGCTGTCTCCTAGGCTGTGTAATTGTGCTTCAAGTGGTGATAATCATTCTCATCAGTCAAGTCCATCGTGCACAGAACAAGGTCCACTTACCGGGTCAGCTGGATTCCCCTATTTGTCGGACGGCTGGTGATCAGCTGCAACTTGAGGAGCAGGTGAGTAAGCTTCACGTGTGATATGTGATCGTGTATGTGCGTTCTACCTATTCTCTCTGACTGCCCCCCTCCCCACATGAACAGATGCAGTATAGGACGATAATGCCCAGAGTGTGACACATATGTGAATCAACTGAATGCTCTGTTCAAATGAGGGCTAACGGACTTGTCGTCGCAAAGTCGGACGAAAGTGGCGCTCACCAGTCTATTCTGAGTGCAGGATAAAAAACATTTTCATTTTCACCCTAGACGCCAAGACGTAACGTTTGGCAACCAATAAGATCTGTATTTGGGTAATTTGCAATTACGATCCCCCAGTTAAATGTGTGTTACGTGCTCGAGAAGAGGACTGTTAGGAGCGCAGACGATGCACATGGATAGGTCGAACTCCACCCCCTTGCATGAGCTATATTCTAGGAAAATCGTTTTTCCTTAAAAATGCAAGCCCCATGTTGTCGATTTTGAAGAACTGAAAATGGTATCGCGACAGTCATCAGCCATTGTATCCCTATCTCATATCAGATTAGTAAGCCAATTCCAAAATTTATGCAAGACTCCGAATTCAAAATATGTCCCTCTCTCCACTAATAATTTGTGGTTTCAGTAGTAGTAGGTGTTACTCTAGCCACGGATCAGGGACTAGAAATGCCAGTTGTGACCGAAAACGGTCTGGCTGCTAGAGTGCATCGTGGCCATTTTGAGAATTTTCGGCAAGTCCGATGGAGGAGGGGTTTGCTGAGGCGGTGGATGAAACAAACGCAAGGTGAGCCACCAACCCCATTGCGCCTGAAAGCATGTTTAACCTAGTGACTGTGGTAACGCAATTCATATAACCTGAGTTTTTGAAATCAGGTGTTCCGTGACTTTGACAAATGACAGTCAAATTACCTCCGAGTGTCGCATGTGCGAATGTCACTAACACACGATTGATTCGAACGACGAGTTCCATCATTGAGCCGTTAAATGGGCGCAACTGTGACTTGCGTGTTAGTTTTCTTAGTGACTCGGACTTGCACTGCATCCACCTCATTGTCTCATCCTACATCCACCGCATTCTGATGCAAGGCGATGTCATGATGACCGGAGGTGAGAGTGGAGGCAGTGGCTGAGGAAGTACAACAGTTCGCCAACGCTTGTCACATCGCCTGCTTCCTAACCGACACAAACACCAAGATTTAGGAGAAAAAAATAGGGGCAAAGGACCTCATAGAATGTGGAACCCTTGCATCTGGTCCCTCGGTCCTGAACAGGACCGACATATCTTGTCAGTCGTATAAATCTCCCTGCCATGGCTGTCAGCATATTGTGATGGTTTTGTAGTGACATTAAGATCCGTTTTGTTTTAATCAGTTACAGTACGCTTTTCAAAGAACTTAACACAACTTTGAATGAGACAAGGAATAAGCGCGTGCATTTTTACCTGCTGACGACTTTGTTCTTATTTACTACTTCGTAACTGTTGGATACTGCTATCTTCGTTTCCTGGATAGCCTACTCACTGTGCCCAACTAACGGGTTTATCACTAATATTGGTGACCCCGACGTGATACGAACACGCCATTGTCTTTATTGCGAGGAAAGCTCTGAATTTCCTTGCAGTATATTCCTAAATATCACCCCCAGTCTTGCCTCCCCCCTGCATGCACTCATCAACTTTTTAAGTATGTCGGGCAACTAATATGAGGTTCTGTGCATTGATTGGCGTGTCATGAAAACCTTCCTCGAGAGCATTTCTCCCACTACGTCACGAGTCGATATGGCCTCCTTTTGGTTCAGCGCACCGTTGACACACTCCGTTTTGGAAGTTGGGGAAGGACATAACCACTGCCTGCGGACGTAGAGAAACGCGTTGTTAGGATATGCCGTAAACTCACCAATTTTAGGCCGAAAAAAGCTTTGGTTTTACCTGCCGCCTATGCGACAGGCGAGGAGGCGACACGCTTGGCTCCGCACTCCACTCCGCTCTAGCGGATCATCGTCATCAGCATTGTTATAGGTGTGTGAGTTTTCTTGGTGGCGCGAACTTGCATTGCATATACCTCACCGTCTCATCCATACGCGCTCTAGCGGGTCATTGTAAGCAGCAATGTGATAGGTTCGCAGATCCCGTACTCGATTTGTCCCATTGTCAGTAAATGGGGAAGATTTCCGCTAGAACTGTACTCACTGGGTGATGCTTCAGTTCTGTATATTTTGCCGGGACCCTTACAGCAAATGAAAGTAAAATAACCTATTAAATGGTTTTCAGAGTTGGTTGGTTTTATACGGATCGGCCTTTTTATAGTTCCACTGCCACGACTGCATTTTGGAGCTTGACTTGCACGGTGAGCCTTGTCAGATTCTCTGACAAATGAACTAATTACCTAATTGTTCCTGTCAGACGGTGCTGTCGTCATTTTTGGCTTCCATTCTTATCCACTTCTAATTTCTGAAGTAGGAGACTCATTAATTCACAACCTGAATTCCAGCCCAGCCCGACATAGACGCTGGCCTTGGGGGTGTGCACGCATTGAGGCATGGTTTGAGCACGCCTGTCAGTGTCTAATATTGATAGTTCCAGCCTGAAATCGCACCCCTCCGCGTTCTCTTGTGCGGCCTGCTCTTCAGACAGGACTTTACCTCCCCCCCCGCCCAACCGCAAACTGTTGTGTTACCGTTATTTCGGAAACGAGAAGTGCTTGCTGACTGGTCGGGTTCCTGTTGTTCGGAGGGTGGCGAAAAGCTAGTAAGCGTGACTTTTCTGGGGGAAAACCGGTGACGGAAAAGCAACTTTTATTAAATAGCAAAAGGACAATTTGCACTTACAGTGAAATCCGGACCAGAATCCGACACGGAAAGTGGCGACTGCGCACCTCGGAGAGGGACTGCATTTAGTCTAGCTGCGTACATTTTAGCCCAGTACTACATATATGCAGGTACTCGTTAATAGCTCTGGGCTGGCGCCCCAAGTTCAGGCGGGGTGTTCGCTCTACACTCAAGTTAAATGAGCGATAGTTGGTCTAACGAGACGTCAGTGTACCTCCTCTTTCTGTCCATCTCCTCCTCCTCCTCCTCCTCCTCCTCCTCCTCCTCCTTCTACTACCGCTACTGCTGCTGCTGCTACTACTACTACTACTACTACTACTACTACTACTATTACTACTATTACTACTACTACTACCACTACTACTACTACTACCACCATTACTACTAATACTACTACTACTATTACAACCACTGACACTTCCTCCGCCATCTGCATTGAAGTATGTTCTCTGTCCATTACCCGCGGCCAGCTCGCTGGTCCTGCTGCCGTGTTGGGAAATGAAGGGTGCGCAAAAGCAGTCGAGATAGGGCGACGCCTGACAACTGGTCATAGTCAAGTCCCATGTCCACGTCTCGTCCCGCCCCCTCCGCCACTTGCATACTCCCATGCACTTTTCTGCTTCCAGCATTTTTTGACCTTTACTATTGAGGTTTAAGGCGCCTTCATTGGAATGCGTGTACACTCAGGCCAAATATCTCGCCAATTAACTTTTGGCGTGCTGGTAACAACAACGCCAAAGGCATCCG